GGGTGGGAACAGATGAGCGATTCACAGATGCATAAGAGACAGACAGAGAAAAAGGTAAGGTGAGTACTGTGAAAGCGGTGGATTATGACATACAGTGAAATCAGAAGTAAACTGCCAGTTAATAGACTTTTTTGCCGTATGAGTATACGTTGCCCGGGGTGCACTACGTGGAGGTAAGTCTATCGCACACCCCACAATCATAGATATTGTGTTTGTCGATGTAGATATCTTAAGATTGGCCCCTGGCTTCGGTAATCGTTGGATTATTTACGTGCTAAATCGGTTTCCTGCTGACTTCACTAAGTTCTTGCCATCATTGTAGGGGACTTACAAATGGTCTCCTATGCCATTTCATATTTGCCCTCCTCCCTCCCCCCCCCCTTTCATAGAGGTCTTAAAACCTTTCTACAATGATCAAGATAGTCTATGGAAATGTGAAGTCTGTCTATGCTTTGATGATAAACTTTCTTCTCAGTTGATGACACCGACCATCGGAGAAGATGATTTCATCTTTTCTTGAGTCTTTTAACTGTAGTCGAGGAAAATTTATTATTAGGGTTCAGAATTTAAATCACGCCCTCCTTGACATTAGCTTTGAGTTGTCTGATCTACAATAAATGCTAGTTTTTTTAAGTCTCCATAAGATCTAGTATTGAATTAACTATAAGTACAACTTTGGGAAAAAATAACCGATGATATTTCTTCTGTTTCTTTATTACTAGAGACCATAAACGATTAATTGTGGAAGTCGGTTGAGATTTTGTGATTAAATTTTCTCTGATAGACCATCTAAATTTCGCATTTCTATTTATAATGTTTTTCCACATTCGCAGGGTTCCGACTGTTCGAATAGCACTTCTTCCTGCAATAGTTGTTCCACACCAGGATCCCCATTTCAAATGGATGGATCGCGGTGTCTCCTGGCCAATGCAATCTCCTTCAATCTCTCCCGACCCCCTTCTCTTGATCATACACCCACTCCATCCTCTTCCAACGATCCTTCCTTCGAGTCTCCTCCTGGTAAATCAAGCACTCGATGATCATTTTTATACTTCACTTCACTGTAATTTATTTGCTCGAAGGAATTCTGCTATAGTATAATCTCCAAAAGTCATTTTCTGGTGTAATTTAGAGTCTAATGGAATTGGGTTGTGATTTGTGAGAAAAGATTGAATGTAATAGCATTGGTTATTGGGATCCCGTGTCAATTATGTCAGATTGGGATTTATTGGATACAGAATTAATGTCGTGACCCATTATGGTAATGTGGATGTGACATTTTAAGGACGTGGCTGGCTGATATTGCACTTCCGAGCACGTTCAAGTGTTGTTTTGCCCAATCTTTGCTTTGGCCAAGGGCAGATATCTTGACCCCCTTTGATAACTGTTTGCAAATGAATTTGTTCATTCGTTTATTTAAATCCCGTCATATTCATCCGGGTGGGGGGGGGGGGGGGTTTAATTCTTCCCCTTACCTT